ACTCGTGGAGGAAATGACTCGTTTGCATGTTTTTAATCCGCTATAGTTTTCATATGTGATTTTCAGGTAATCGATGAAATAACTGAACTGGGTGGTATGGCGAAGGCGGTCGCATCTGGCATGACTAAACTGAGAATCGAGGAAGCGGCTGCTAAGAAGCAAGCCCGAATCGACTCTGGCAAGGACGTCATCGTCGGTGTGAACAAGTACCGCCTTGACCAAGTTAGTAATTTGCTATTGATTTTGGCAAGAGTGGAAATTTGGAATGACATAGTCGAAATGTGCCCATGTACGTCCAACCATACGTTGGTCATTTGTCAGGGAAGGGAGTCGTAGTTGTGACAAGGGATTAGGTCGTTGATTGTAGAGGGGTTGAAACCCTTGAAAGCTTGGGTGTAGAATGTGTGGTTTCAACAGCTCTACCTGGAGCCTTCCACGGAAGATCGTATTTCTGATTTTTACCATGGTTACGGTGACCCTGGGCTCACTGCCCATATCGTCGTATGGCTACCTGAATGAAAAAGTGCTCCCATAATTAAGTAATTTTTAGGAGACGAAAGTCGATGTGCTTCACGTTGATAACCAGAAAGTACGTGAACAACAAATTGCCAAGCTGGAACACATTCGCAAGACTAGGGACCCGCAGAGAGCTAAGGCAGCCCTCGAAGCGATCACTGAGGTAGGTCGCAGCGTTCGCCTCAAATTTCCACAGCAAAATGAAATGTGTTAAGGGAGCTGCTGGCAATGGAAACCTCATGGCTTTGGCTATTGAAGCGTCTCGCGCACGATGCACTGTTGGTGAAATTAGCGACGCCATGGAGAAAGTCTTCACCCGGTGAGAACTACTAATTTGTTTTGTTTTAGCGCAAATGGTGAACTCAGAAAAGCCTGGGTGTTTGATCGAACCTTGCAGAGGAAAGGTGAAGTTGAATGCTTCTATCACCTAGAAAAGCTAGCTAGAAGGAAAGAAAAGATAGCTAGAAGGCGCTACGTTTTGACGTCGTCCTTCAATGTTATGGTGGAGGGGGTAGGGACACTAAGAGCCGGTTCCAACCACACCTCAATGATGAGTGATCTTATCCACCAATGGCATCATCAAAATCGCACCGCCGTCCATCGTGATCACTGCCTTTAAATCTCGAGTTCTCAATTTCCAACGGGAACAATGTATTTGTAACCACCAGCTTTAACGCTAAGGTGGAGTTGCCAAAAGACTTGAATCGTTGTTTCAATCGGCACTGTATAGTTTGCTGCAAGTGAAGCAATCTACTCTACCCATGTGAAGTAGCACCCTTCAGCATTGCTGCTGTCAAACAATGCGTGTCAGGTTCGCCTTAAAATCAGAAGTCGGGAAGACAGAAACGGACGAGCTCGCTCAGGTGACCTTTTGGTGTCCTCTTCTGCCATCATTCTCGTAATAAGCCCAGAAACTAGAGAATATTTTGAGGTTATGGAACGTGTGAAAGCTTTTGCTGCGAAGGAAGGTCGTCAACCGCGCCTCATGGTAGCCAAGATGGGTCAAGATGCCATAGATCGTGTGCGCAAGGTCTGTCGCTAACGGATTTGCAGATCCTTGGTGATAGTCATGAGTTGTTTTGAGCTGCTGGGCTAGGACTGCAAATGCGAACAGAACTGTCTGCCGAAATCGCACCCGACCTGTCGAAATCGGGACCTTTTCGGAAATGGTTAGAAAATGCTGCCCCTGTCGTTTCTAGGCGCTTACCTGGCTATTGTATACTAAAAGCAACAACCTCAGATGGATCCATACTTTTGCTGCTAATACGGTGAAAAGATGCGTGAGCCCTAGTCGGCAACATATGAAGTGTCGCTAAAGCAATAATTCACCTTGGAGAGCCGCTATGAAGAAGTTGGATAGGTGCCAATTTTGGTCCGAGCGCTCATTTTGCCGGCACGCCCATTTGCTAGCCGTCAAGATCGCGTGATAGGCTGCGTGAGCACGTGCTACTTTAGTTGATCTCGGTCCTAACCGTAATAACTTGTGCATGCTCCGCCTGCTGCTTCCTGGCGAAGCAAGCAAGAGCTTCGCAAATTCGTCCAAGCCCCGCCCCTTCGTATTTAGCGAGAAGAATGAGGAAGTCTCTCGTTTAGGACTTTCGACGGTTTTCTTTGCCTGTTTTTCCATTTCAGTCAACTTCAGTTCACATTTTCATTATCCCCAGTATTTCCAAGTTTTTTTTATGGAGAATGTTTTCCGGATTTGATGGACGTTGGACCGTTGTTCCAAACCCCAGCCGAAGCTGCTCAGCAAGCTGTCGACGCAGACGTTCATGTGATCGGAGCAAGCAGTCTGGCTGCCGGACATCTGACCCTTGTGCCTCAATTGGTTCAGGAACTCGCCAAGCTGGGAAGAGAGTGAGTGGGACTTCCCACCGGAAGATCCACTAGAAAAGAACAAGTATCAATTTTGCGTGATTTTAGGGACATCCTTGTAGTTGTCGGTGGTGTGATTCCTCCACAGGATTACGATGCCCTCTATAAGGCCGGTGCTGCTCTGATCTTCGGACCTGGAACAAGACTACCAGCTTGCGCCAATCAGGTTTGTTCGTTTTCACCTTATGCCTCTGAGTCGACTGCTGGCCTTCGAGGGATGCGTAGCTACCGAATGCTGCTGGTCGTAATCTCCGTGATTCAGGTGCTTGACAAGCTCGAAGCCGGTCCGGAAAAGCAGGCCGCCAAGTCATAACTTCGGGAGTGTGAATAGCTGACGCAACGATTCTCGTGTGTAGATATAATAAGATTATGTGAGACATCCTCACTGTCTGAGTCAATTTGTTACTTGTGTGAACGGGAATTTCGGTAGCTGTTTAAAATAGATGAAATAGTTTTGCAGAACATTCAGTATGGTTCCAGTAGTCGTCTGTTGTAGTTTTGATGAATAATTGTTGCATTCATACCGATTCATTGTCGACAATACGAGTTTACCATCCGTTCGCCACATTATTGCATAAATAATAAGTTCTTCATTTATGCCAAAATAAAGTACATCGTAAAGTAAAAGTGAACACTGCAAGGCAGCATTCATAGTTCGCGTATATACAATGGGGCGATTGGGCGATCAGGCGAGTATTCAGAAAGAAAAATTATTTAGGCGACTGAGAAATCGTTCAGTCTGCGACGCAAACCAATCGATACGTATGCAATTTTACTCGCTTATCGCATAATCGCTTATACGGTCGTGAAGTATGAACGCTGTCAAAGTCATTAATAGGGAATTTGTCTGTTTTGATGACGAAGGTAAGGTAAGGTTGTTAAGAATCGCTACAAAGGCCGCATCTATAATCCATTTAT